CCACCCTTATCCCCGATCGAGTCCTTAACTCCGATCCCCTCATTCCCACACTCGCAATTTTCTCTTTTGTAATTGCAGTAGTTGCAATTGCAATTGCAATTCTAATACAAGTAAAAATAGCTCCCTCATTCCTAACGTTGTCGGTAAAAAATACTATCACCGTTCCTTCCAAATTCGGCCTGACCTTCCTATGCTCTCTCCACCCACCCTTCGACACGTACGTTGGCCTTGTTCGTATCAATGAAGGTCGCCAACGACTTATTTGGGTTGATTTTCGTCATAGAGTCGGTACAGACGACTATAGGGACCTCGGGGACTTCCAGCTTGTTGTTTGAACTCTTGAGAGCTCAAGTTGGTTCCAGCGTCTACTACGATTACATCTGGAGGGCCCAAGTATGTATCGATCCAATAGTAACGTACTGTATCCCACACGTGTTTTGCAGTCATATTCTTGAGGAATCCTCTAGAACCGTAGCCTGTAGCTGAATCTACGATATGTAATACGGGGTCCCCGTTAATATACATGATGTCAACAATAATCGAATAGTTGAATTCATACTCATCTTTCAAAGAGATTTTGAATCTGCGAGGGGCTTGCTCATGTAGTTGACACTGCGCACAGTATTTGGTAATCTTCTCGAGGATGTCGGTTTCAAACTCTTCACCGGCAGCCTTAAGGGTGGTAGCAAAACGCTGTACTGAGGGGTGTCCTTAGCGGCGATGAATTTGACGCAATTCTCCCTCGGTGAGGTAGCATGTAATGGTTTCTTGCTGATTAAGCAGTAAGAATGGGTGGCCCTATTTTCTAACAACTAGCACGCTGTTGTGGCCTTGCACAAGCAGGTTTCTCAGATTGTCAAAATACACGCTAAGAGAATCTATGTCTTTCAGACAGATTAGGAAAGGGGTGTCAGTATTGACTATATGAAAAACAATCTTGCTAATTGATGTTTGTACTTTCACGGTTCCTTTGATAATAGCCGGGGTCTCGCCGAAGCTGATAGTACCTCTTTGAGTAGTAATCACTTGTAATTCAAGCAAGTGGTGCTAGAGAGCTTTCACTTGTGCTTCTCTTGCAGAAGACTTACTTGCAGCTCTCGAATCGGGAAGGAAGCCTTGGAATCGGTAAGCTGAATACCGAGAGTGTGAAATGTAGGTCTTTAGTAGAACGGTCTCATCTTCTTTAATTGAGGGGTTCATAGCGTCTAAGGTAGTGAAAGCGTGGTAAGCTGAGCGTTCCTGCAAAATTGCAATGGTCTCGGCGCCTGTCACCTCTTTAGCTTCGGTGAGAAAGGTTTGAGTGAAGTAGTTGCGGTTACCGTGATCGTATTCGTCGTACTGATAGTTTTCAGTAGCGTATGTTGCTTGATCTTGGTGATTTTCTTCGTTTGCAATACCCTCTACTCTTTCGTAGTCCGCCAAGAAGCTTGCAAAATAGGCCAAGGTCACTGGTTGAGTGGTGTAGTACGTAGCGCCTTTCTTGTACTCGTCGTAAGAGCGTTTTCGTTCTTCGGGGGAGTGTTTTGTAGACTAGCAGTCGGGTTTGCCGCAGATGAAGCATACCTTAGGCTTTCTACCTCCGCGGAAGCCTCTATTCCTTCCTCTACGTGCAAAACCTCTGTTCCTACCTCTGCCTCTATTACCGCGATTGTAGCCTCTTGAGCCACGGTTATAGCTCCCACCTGATCCTCTATAGTTTCGATCGGTGTAGTAGGTCTCGTGATTGCAATTAGTATCGCAATTGTGGTCGTTGGAAGCATGATACATAGTAGGAGGAGCTGTGTATTCGAGTATTTAGCGCTCTCTTTAAATAGTACCGATTGCTGATCGTAATTGAGCAGCAACTCTTTCGTATGTATTAGCTAGGTTGAACATTGCTAGTCTGCATTCTTCGACTCTATTGCAGGCGCTAATAAGTTGATCGCGCAATACGTTATCGGTCTGGTATTCGAGTGTAAGGCCTTGCTGACAGCTTTTTAAAAGCTTTATCGTAATCTCTAGGCACTTTAATCGAGTCTTCCCGATGTTCTCCTTGTCTGCAATGACACTAGCGAATGTAATAGTTCTCCACAAGCTTATATAGTGCTTTCGGTTCTCATCGGTTTCGAAGTGTTGGGCTATAAGGTGTGTCATGGCTTCGAAAGAGTAGCTTCTGCTAGCTATTTGATCGATATAGTAAGCGTTTGCTGCTCCGGTAAGCATGACAAGGAAAGCTTTAGCGTATAAGGCAAGAGGGATGTCGCATGTTTCGCATAAGCTGTAGAACTTCTTCAGCTTTACGAAGAGTATATCCTACATTCCTCTATTGTATTTGAGCTCCTTCTTATGTCCATACATCTTACTGAGTCCGCCAATCAGCTGCGCTGGGCTTGGTCTCCAGCCTCCTCTAGCTGATTGGTCAGGGTCTCTTCCATTGCCACCTCCGCCTTTTCCACCACCTCCTCCTCCACCTCCTCTTCCACCTCTTCTTCCACCTCCTCTTTCACCGCCTCCTCCACCTCCTCTGTAGTTATCTCTACGGTAGGAGTCCTCCGTATGGTTGCTTCTACCATTATCACTTCCGCTTCCACCTCCTCCATTTGCTCTTCGTCCTTGAGGTTCGCGGTGTTCGAAGATGGGTGGTACGTAAGGTTGTCGATGAACCAGTGGGTTGGGTGGGGGTCGAGTCGGATGAATCGGTGGTAAAGGTTGTAGTCGAGGGTCAAGGGGTAGTCGAGGGTCACGGGGCAGTCGAGGGTCAGGGGTGAACTCCCATTGTCTCTGCTGTTGATAGGGTTGCCTATTGAATGGTATATCGAATTGTATATCATTCGGAGGTGGGGGTAGGGGTCGATACAGTTGGGGGTGTATCGGTGGGAGGGGTGGTCGTGTAGGTTGTATCGGTGTGAGAGGTGTGGGAGATGGTAAAGGTGAGGGTGGAGGTTTGACGGCAGGTCTGTATGTCATTAAACTGAGTCGCTTTTCTCGTCTTGCTTCTTCGTAAGATGGAAATACGGGAAATGTCGATCTGTGAAGTAGTTCAGCAAGGGCTGAAGCATAGCTTACACCACTTCTTGGATCTTTCATCCACACGTAGTGAACGAAAAGGTGATTGTATAAGTATCTTAGGATTGTGATGTGACTTAGCTTGAACAATGGTTCAGTCCATCCTTCGAAGAAGCTCTGGTATGTCTCTTACAAATTGTCACCTGTAGCGTAGCGATAATCATCCTTGAATATATCGAGGGCTCGGATGATATACGAGTGAACGCAACCTTAGGTCCATTTGGTCTTGTCAGTGGGGTCGAAATTATCAGCTTCCTATACCTCTCGGTCGACTTTGAATTTGCCTCGGAGAGTCCATTCGAGTTCCTCGAAGCTACCTGCTGGAGGTCGAACGGATTTCTCTGAGAGGGGGGGAGGGGGGGGGTCTTCGAATTCGTGAGGGGGAGGATTTCTGTTTCTGTCATCCGCCATATTAGCGGTAGTGGTTGCGTGATGGACGCTACAACTGGTGATAGTACTGCTAATTGTATTGGGTTTCCGCTAGACTTGTTAAGAACTAACGGTTGCTTGTAGCGTAGTTAATACCTTTGGGAGGGCAAAAACTACCTCTTCTTTTCTGTACTTAGCTCATCTGTGGTTAAGTGTGAATTTAACCACTGATCAGTGTTGGTTACACAATAGGGTGCACACG